AAAGATGGTAATCTGATGGTGCCATATCTGGAGAATATGATGGGCGGGGGAGAACTTCTCAAACCCATCTCCATAATCTTGTGTTGCGTCAAACGTGCCATACGTGGATGTGCATTGTCGTGGAGAAGAACACCTTTTCCGATTGACGAGTGAAGGGAATTTCTGATGAAGGGCTTGATTTAAACGTTCCAGTTGCTGACTATAGATCTCTGCATTGACCGTTCGCTGTGGATTGAGGAGTTCGAAATGAATTACTCCTATGATGTACCACCAAATGCAAAGCATCACTTTCTGTGGACGGAGTCCAAGTTTAGGGGTCGGAAATGGTTTTTGCCTAGTGCTGAGCCATTGATTTTGGCGTTTAATATTCGCATAGAGAATCTAGCTGGCCAGTATCATTGAGTTCGCGAACACCATTACTGGAAAAGTGAACTAACAGTACCGAAGACACATGAAATTTAATGTGTGCCAAAGATACAGCAGACTGTCTAGTCACAATGTCATGAACTCTAGTCTCGTGAGGTATAGTAATTAGAACTGCCACCACGTGATATATTTAAATTTTTTTGTTGGTGTCAGGACTTCAGTGGTTCGTCCTTCAGTATCAACCAAACAATTATTAGATATATGCCATAATGTTCAACATGGAACTTTTTAAACTTTAATCTGTTTTGCTTCTGTAAGGCATGATCTAGTTAATATTTTCTGTGTTAACCTATTGTTAGCTTAGAATCTGCTTAATAATAACCTTAACATTTCTACTCGATATTACCTTATTATGTTAATTTCTATTATTAAGATAATATTTTTCGAAACAAAGTTAACTCTTAGGCTACTTTTCACAAAGAATATTGATATTAACCGCCTCATCATAACATTCTCTCGGCTGAAAGGATGAACATGTCATGTTTGGTTAAAGGTTTCGATCCCGCGAACGACAAGTTACGAACCGAGCACCCTAACCATCACACCATGTCAGGCCTAAATTATTAATACGTATAAAATTTTCGACTATATTCTGTTTCTCTCACCATATGTGTACTTGGAACTGAGAAAATAACTAAAGGCAAGTTAGGGTTGTTTGTTTCCTGTTTTGTACAAAGCTGAACAATGAACTCTGTGTACTACGACCAGCGAATGAATTAAACTATACATAATAGCGTTTTAAGGTCTCATTAAATTGAAAGTCTTCTGAATTTACTTTCACTGTAATATTTGTTTCTGTGAAATTACAATTATAATGTATGATAAGATGGTCAAAGATGTTTAATTTTAAAACATTTTTAATGCCTGAAGAAACAAAGAGATAGCAAAATACTTTATTTTATGTTTATGATATATATAATATGATAATGATATATCATAATAATATAATGTTTATAATATTCCATTTATTATAATGTTTTTGATACAATTTTAGTTAAATTGTATGTAATAGGAATTTCGTTAAAAAAAAAACGTTTTCGTTCATAACTTGCTACGTATACAATTATAGACTTCCACAATCAATTTCGAAACTATTTTTTAAATACTACATTTTATGCCAGTTTACTGTATAAATTATTTGTTTTAACTGGTATATGTTACACTTTAAGAGAAAAGGTGTTTGGAATGTTAACTACATATATTAGTAAGAATATTTGTTCACAACTACAGTTACAATAACTTAAATCTGTTTTACATTTCATACAAAAATATAGATAAACGTCTGCTAAATATTTCTGTAAATACTACACAAGCTTCTAAATGTTTCATTTGCATTGAATATTAATTTTCTTTGAAAAATCAATTAAACACAATATACAGGAATGCACAGATGACCTATTATTAGAACCACGATTTTTTACCACTTATTTAAAATCTGATCATATGACATCATTTAGTTTGTTCCTTTTCTTAGATATCAGAAGAGTAAGGCAGTTTTAATGTTATCTCTTTCTGAGTGCTTAAGTATTGCTGTTGTTGTGGTTAGTGAGGTGTGATAAGACTTTCTTCCCTACATATTTGTACGAGCTGTGTGGTCGTTACACTGCATGAAAGATTACAATTATTCAATAAAAATAATGTAAAATCTTAATGCATACTTTCACTTTATTTTATTTATAAATATTTATTCATTTGATAAGACTACATTTTTATTATATCTTTATTTTAAATTTATTTTCTTATTTTATTCAGCAATAATGTTTTATTAAAATGAAAAATATTTGACCGTGAAAAATAAAATCATTTAATATATGATGTTGTTATTTTTTTCATCTAACCACATTATCGATATGTCTATACGTTTATTACACAGACTAAAACTCATTATAGTGATTTATTTGCATTGTATCACATTCGAAATACAAAACCCAAGTAAAACCCAAAACCATGATTCTGAAAACTTAAACTGTCTAATATAATTATTCGTTTGATATCAACTTCACACAAACGTTTACTGGAAGCAGCACTGCTGACTAATGATTCTTAACAAGAAAACAAAATCAACTCGATTGTAGTCTATAGTCAATATGTAAATCCTAGTGATAATTTTAAGTTACCTTAAGTTAATATGAATTATATTCTTAAGTATGTTTTATTGTGGTAAAAGGAGACAAAATTTGGACAGTTGATATAGAGTAGATTATTATAGAACACATTAGAGACATTTTTTCTGAATACATGAAATACAGGTTTAAAATAATACAATTTAAATAGTTGTTTATTAAGATTTTTTAGTGATTCTTCAAATAAATATTCACATTGACTAATTATTTCAAATTTAACCGGAAAATTGGAGGCTGATATATACTAAAGACCCAAAGATAAGAATAACGAAAATGTTACAAAATGGGAAATATTACAACAATGCACAGTCGATATGTTGTTTCAATTTTGTGGAAAATCAGAAATATTATCTGAAGTTGTACAGTGTGTAGTAACAATGTTTTATTTGTCTTATTCATGTATCCAAGACAGTTTTATGTCATGTTAAGAAAGAAATGGCATCGTGATTTTCTTTTGCGTCTTCCATCATTAATTCCTCCACTGTTTAAGAAGTATTCATCTTCCTTCAGGTAAGATATTCATGAACTTTCGTATTTCTATCTAGTTCAAGTTTTTTTTTCTTGCGAACAAATAATCTGACGGTGAAATCTACTTGTTTTCAACCAATAAAAAATATAGACGAAAAAGAATTTTAAAAAATCAATGAAACTTGTTAGGAATTCATGAACTGTTATACACTTAGATATGAAAGATATACGTACGTTTAAATAAAAATCAACTCAGTATATATATTTTTCTTTGGTCATAAGTATTATAAATAACAGACTATATTTAGAAGCAAGTATGTATTTAGTTTATTGTGAAGAAACATTTAATATGAATTAGGACATATATAAACATTAAATGGAAATGAAAGTTTTCGTCACTTCAAATATTGCAAGCATTGGCCTCAATGTACAACTTTCCTTGACCTAAGAATGAAAATAAAACAAAGTTGCCACATAACAGTTACTGAAGCTCATTTACATGTTCATAGGACATATAAATCTAAACACATAGAAGTCTACCTACTTAAACTCATACTTAACACAGATAAAACACCATAGGTATTCTACATGAATCATCTAGTATGTCTATCAAACAAACTGTTAGGGACTCAACTGGCTGCACGAAGGGCTAACTGATGATTTATATTGCATATATAAGAAATCATGATGTAATTCAAAAGAAATAATAGTAATTGTTATAAGTTGTAACTTAGATGCACATGCTTGTCAAATAAAGGTTAAACTAAAAGAGTCTATATGCACATTAACTAATCATTTATTGCTTAATAGAAATAAATTATGAATGCTACCCATTTGTCAAAACACAACGATCTACGAAGCTTGAAATACTGTGATAACGTGCAAAAAATAGAAAAATGAGCATATATGTGTGTATAATATTCATAATGTGTTTCAAAGTTTAAGTTTGAAAAAGAAAACCTATGTAATAAGGTAAACTCTCTATAAGTTCATTTGACTCGATAACATAAAATACAAAAATACCGTAGTTCATAATTTAACTACCCATACGTTATAGCTGCGTGTGACATGATTGAGTTTCAATGGTAAGTACGGAAGGCAGTATTACCTACTTGTGTGGTACTTCAAGTTATTCTGTTTTCTGGGTTGAGATAACAATAACAAACACAAAATCAAGAGGAAATATTGTGCAGCAAACATTTATTGACATTTATTAAACCACAACACTAGTCAAAGTTAACGAGAGTTAACGAGGTTGTTACCTGAATTGTGAGGAATTCCTAAGAAAAAAACTTTCATAACAGAAACATTTGATTGAAACCTGAATACATCGTTAATAGGATATATTCATAACCTATTTATGAATGACTTAAGATTGGTATTATTGAGTTCCAATTATTACGACAAATTTTAGGATTTACTTTGAAAAGGTGATTTATTTACAGGCAAACAAATAGGGTGGTGTACATTAACCTATAATGTTTTCCGTTTTTCTTCTCAGTATAGTGTTAATTATAGTTGTAACATAAGATTAACGATAAAACAAGGGGGTATCCTTAACAGCCACGGTATTTGAAATTATTTTAGGTAGGATTAGAGTAAATTAATCTATGAGGCCTTTTTATCCTTTTTATTAGCTATATTTTTGTGCGCCAGCAATAAGAAGCGTGCGGTGCGCGTATACCCGATTCGATTATATTTCTCATCACGATCTCTACCAGATTACCCTCAAATTTAAATTCTTTTAGGGAGGATTAGAGTAAATTATTCTATGAGACTTTGGTCGTGGTCAAATACATCAATCAAAAGGGTTTGACTTCCCAAGTCTTAAACAGTAATTAGATCTCAAATGAGGGAGCTATAAGCTAAAAGTTTGTACTTGTAAAACCTCAGAGCCATTCTATGAGCCATTATGCCGCGGCTAAAAATATTCTGATGCTTACTTAAACAAAACTATTCTATTATAGGCATTTTACAATGTATAATTACTACTAGAGAAAGTCCACACCTCTTCATTCACAAGAATATACAAAGTTACGGTCCATTCTTTTTCGAATTTCAGGGTTACAGGAAACATTATATTGCATCACTTGAGAAGTATCAACAAAATCTTATTATAGTAG